CCCCAATGTTAGCACATATTCTACTCCCCAATTAGTCTCGAATATGAAACATGTGAGTGAATGAATGATAAATGAGTGTCCCAGTTCTTAGTGACATGCTATTGGATATGATTAGACTTAGAGTAGTCCCTTACTAACAATTCTGGAACATTGATTCCTTTGGAATTCATGTGTTCTATTCTTCTGCAGTTCATCAAGACCTATGTGAGTGTTGTCTGTATCCTGAGCACCAAGTACTGTGGTAGTTGGGAAAAGGAATAAAATTCACAACTTTTCCATCAGAGAACTCATAACTTAGTGGGATGTGTGAGGCACATACATAATAATTATCTTTCCGTATGTGCTTTTAGAGGTCATACAGACTGGAAGGAGTCAGTACCTTTTGGTTTATAGAATTAGTGGAAGTTTCATGGGCTGGAGGCGTATGGCTGCGGGGAAAGGCCATTTAAGACAGAGAACTGTGTGAACCAAGGATGGAAATGAAAAAGTGTAAGATCTGCTTAAGGACAGTCCAGAGTTGCCAACTAAAAAGCTCATATATAGATTCATGGAAGGAATTAAAGTTGGCCAGATTCAGTTAGGATTAGATAATAAAGATACTGAATTCCAGGTGTGGCTATTTGTATTGAATTAGCAGGCAGTGGGAAACTATCGATGGTTCTAAATGGCAGAATGACATGATCAGAGCTTTTTTTTTTTTTTAATGGTAGTGCTTTTCAATAAGACAGATGCAAAGGATATCATTTACCTAGCAGTAATCAGAATTCTCCATAATTCCTAGCACTTTTCTGTAATTCCCCTCACTCTTCCACTCAAGAAAGAGTATTGGAAAACAATTGAATAGTAATACTAAATATCCAAGTCAACTTTCATTTATTTAAAAAAAAAGCACTTTTCAGGGGCACCTGGGTGGCTAAATTGGTTAAATGACTGCCTTCAGCTCACGTCATCATCCTGGAGTCCCAGGATCAAGTCCCACATCGGGCTCCCTGCTCAGTTGGGAGCCTGCTTCTCCCTCTGACCTTGCCCCTCTCATGTTCTCTCTCTCTCTCATTCTCTCTCTCTCAAATAAATAAATAAATGAATAAATTTTATAAACTTAAAAAAATCACTTTTAGATTTATTTAGTGGTAGTTAGAAGTAATTTATGATACGCTCTATAATGAATTGAGACACAGAACTATGTGTTGCAATGGCAGTTAAAAATCAAGGTTGAAGAAAACATGGCA